TATAAGCTCTAACTTCATACAACTTCTGTCGCAGATTAAACTACGGGATTGTTAAAAGCTTTGCTATATATAATTTTCTGTTGAAATATTAAATGTGATGCAATTACGTAATTTATATGATTAACTGAATGATTATGTAATTTATATGATTAAATATACGTATTGTCGAGATTGCATTGTTGAAATAACCATGATTATGCAAAATGTCGGTCGTAGCGAGCGATGCAATCTGTCGATCAAAATTGGAAATCTCGCCGGAATACGACTCTCGCACACAAGACCCCTATATATATAACCCGGAAATTAAAAATATTAGTATGAAACTATGATACGAGAATATGTAAAGAATCTTTATAAATATTATACACACACACATTGGTTTTTAACTACCTGAATTTATTGAAGTAGAGATTAAAATAAATCCCTGAAATTGATTTATTCAATTTTTATTTTATTATTTGCAAAAATAAAAAGAGATATAAAAGAATTTTATAAATAAAAATTCTTTTAACAAGATTCTCTCTCTTTCTCTCTCTCTCTCTCGCTCTCTTTGTCTTAGTAATTTTAATACAGCTACATATTAATACTTTAAATAATTTATAATTATTTAAACAATCGGCAATTATATTATAGACTAACAAGAGTATATAATTTTTCTATATAAAATCTACTTATATTTTTTTTTGCGCGCATTTGGGAAAAATAAAAAGGAAAAATAGCCCAGAGTTTCCGGGAATATTTTATTTTCTTACAATAAATTTAGGCAGCGAATAAAGAATAATTTATCGAAACATTTATTATGTATTTCCAAATTTTCATAATTTTTTTGAATTTCCGATTCAGAAACCTTTCTTTGTCAAGTCCCAGCGATTCAAAAGAGAAGTTTCTTAAAAACGACTGTTTCTCAAACAGCGCCGAGACATAACAATGTCACTGGGAATACGTTCCTCTTTCTTCTCTTCTTTATTTCCATCTACGTCTTCCGTTCCCTGTATGCGAATGTCCGAGAATGTGATGCGGAATTTTATGCATCGACACTGGGCTACGCCCGTCACCTCCGCTCTGTAAAATATTCAGATAAGATCTGTCGGGATACGTCGTCTCATCTACGGAAGCTCGATATGTGCATACGCGGGATATAAAAGCGCGCTGTATGGAAATTGGAAATTGATCGTCGTACCGTTATATCGACACGTCATTCTTATAAAGATATTAAATTCGCCGTTTTTGCGCAAATTTCATTAATTAAGCAAAAGCGTGCTGATATGAATGATACGCGGTTGTTTATAAAACGCGATGTCCGTCATGTGATGCGAAAAGTACAGGAACAGAATAATCTCGTAACTTTGTCCATTTAAACGAAACTGCGCCGACGTCAGTATCCCCTGATGCGATAAAGTACGTGAGTCTGCATAATAACGAAAAATGCAACGATAGAAAAAAAACATTAAAAAATTAAACATGAAAATATTTTGAAAATTTGCGATCGTAATTTCGAGATCAACATGACATATGAGAGAAAGAGAGAGAGAGAGAGAGGGAGAGAGAGAGAAGGAGAGAGAGTTTTGATTCGCCACTAGACTCGTAATTGGAACTGGATTCCCAATGGAGCTATTTCATAATTCAAACGTATGCGCGGCTCTTTTCCCGATAACGCAAAAATTTGAAATAAATCAATGTGTCGGGTGATTTACAGCGAGCATTAAGCATACAGTGCATCGGGAAATCACGTCGTTAATTTCAACCGCGCGCGGTATGACAAGTATCTTATTCTTTCTTCAACAGATTAACGTTACGCGTCAGATAACGCGAATGAGATGAATATCGATGGAAGATTTCTTGAAAGAAACATCTCAGAATAGTATCTTCTATTTATGTAAGATGTTATTAGAAACATATAATTGCGTGCGATTTTTTTTTCTTTCTTTTTTTTTGCGACGTGATATACTTCGGTTTTGTGAATGTTATCGGAAACAGAATTATTCGACGTTAAAAGCAGAGGAATTTATTCATCTCGAGAACGATGTCTCGGTTTTCTATAGTAACAGAACAAAATGTTCTTGCAAACTGCAACGTGATATCACGCTGTGACATCACGGCGTCATCAAATGTGCAATTTCGCGTGAAGAACATATCGCGCGCTCCGCGATTTCGGTTCGAGTTTCGCCGAAGATTGGAGAGATCTTCAAAATGAAAAACAATAAAATTAATACAATGTCGACGATATGCGTTTTATCAATTTTCTCTGTCTTTGATTTTGTGAAAGATGGAAGGAAGCTCTTAGCTTCTCTCCTTCTTAATCTTTCCGTTGTTCCTCGGAAACCGCATTTGTCTCGGAGGCCGCAACGTGACGCCAGATAGGAAGACGGTATCAGACGTCCGGTACACGTACAGTTTCCCTTCTCCCCTCCCGCGAAAGATAGGTTACTGTATGCATGAATGTATATGTGTGTGAAGTCGGCCTCACAGCCTTATCCACACCGATATTAAACTTCGAATAGTTCGTCAAGACTCAGAGGAGAGCAGATGGAAGACGAAAACGCGCAGACGGAAAAAGAGTATTTAAGGGACTGAACGAAATTAATGAAAAGTTCCAATTTACGGCAAAGAAAGAAAAAGAAAAAGAGACAAAGCGCCACTTTTTCACCCGCGAAAGGAGCAAAGTTCGCCGCTTTACTTTTCTTTTTTCAGATTTATCATTGTTTTGAGAGGACTGACGTTTCGAGGCTATCAGCATCAGCGCGATATGAATCGAATATCGAGTGGAGTATGCATCATTCGGTGCGGTTCACTTTTTTCTCTCATCCTTTCCAGACGCCTCTCGACACACATCTCCTCGTATTAAAGTTCGAAGCGCACGAGGAGAGCAGAAATAATATTCTCTGCGATTTAGAACTTGAAACTTGAAGGATGGAAGGGGGATTTGTCTATTCAAATAAATAGACAAATATCTGTTTTTTACACTCAAAAAAGTGGTATTGCAACTACAGCAAAAATTTTCTGAGTGCGCAAAATTAACTGAGGGATCGTTCTGTAGTATCGAAACTCATATTTATCCAATGCAGTGATTAACATTTGGCAATGGGACCTAAATTTTCTAGAAGATATTATTAGAATGTTGCTGCTATAAATTCTATATGTAACAGACAATATTCTAACAGATATAAAAAATAGCGATAAGTTTTTGTTGTGACACCTAGAAATCTACCTATATCAGCAAGACATTTTTTTGAGTGTAAATAAAAATTTTACACGATATTAAAAAATATTCTATTTTTCAATTCTCTAGACTTTTATAATTCCTTTCTTAATTCAAACCATTGTTTTTATATGAAGTATTTTTTGGATTTAGTTTAATAAAAATAAAAAGTTATTCCATTTGTATATAACATTTTGTGATTTTTTTTTTTTTGAAGGAGGGTAGTACTTTTGTAACTTCTGCGCTCTATATAATCGTTTTACTATTATAAAATTAGAAGGCTAGAAGAAGAATATGTGCTACATTCAAAGCTTTACGGCTGTTATTATTACGTAGCTTTATTCCTCATCTTGCGCGTGTATCGCGTATTCTTGAATCTTCGATATCAATACTATATTCGAGAAGTAGATAAATCATTATTTCGTAACCTGATTACGTTCTTAAAATATCATAAGGCCTAATAGAAACTCCATTTATCAAGATAATTGATCGAGTACAATGCACCGGTTCTCTCTCTCTCTCTTTCTCTTCTCAACTACTATTCGCATTACTTATAATGGGACTTTGCCAATGGGCATGTTAACGATTAATTCGTCCTGAAATTCAACGTTCCTCTCGGGCAATCTCTTCATCAATGAGAGAGATAGAGAGAGAGAGGGATAGAGAGAGAGAGAGAGGGAGAGAGAGAGAGAGAGAGGCAGAGGCAGCCGGCGGCCTCCTCTAACTCCCATGTCCATTCTTTTTTTTTGGATCTTCCGGAAACTGCCGCTTTTTCCTCTTGCCTTTGTTTCAAGTACAAAAGAACGATCCCGGGCATTCTGGGAATCGCGCGAACCAGCGATGTAATTGCCCGTACATATCCCGTAGAAAATTTAAAAACGGCAAGAGTCCTTTATACGCAATTCCGGTCGTGCTTTCAACAAAATCGGCCGGCACTGAATCCTCCTATCGTTATCGTTTATCGAGTCGCTAATCCCCGTATTCGACATCCTGTATAAAATTCCGTACGTGAATCAGGATTGCCATTATACACAAATATCCCCTATACACTGTTTGCACTGTACGCATCGCCCCGTTTTATCTCGCGCGGCCATTTTCTGCAGAAACTAATTAATTGAAAGAAATTAAGATTAACTTTCCGTCCGGTGTATGTGCATCCGCGCCGTTATACGCTTTCATTAATTGTAAATGAGAGACAATACCAGCAGAATCATTCTACCGTGGCGACGCCTTTAAACGAAGAGTGTGGAACGTGCGACTAGTTAATCAATACGTAACGGGTTCTGTATAGGGTACATATATATATATATATATATATATATATTTGCACGCTCTAAAGACACGCCAGCGAGCGTTAATTTTATTTCATTTCGATTCCTATTTCTGCGAAAGGCAACTCTCAAATAGGATTCCCTTTGCGTGTCCCGATATTTATCCGTAGGTTTTTCAAAGTGGCGAAAGAAAGATTGCTTGTAACGATATCGAAGAGGAAAAGTTTGCTGGAATCGAGAGGATAAAAATTTTCACTGAGAAAACTTTATAACTAATTGAATGAGTGTGAAAATATCTCTCGTATATAAAATAGGATTATTTATCGTCAAAATCTAATAAAGAAATAATAATTTATTTATTCTGGTACCACATTTCGTTCGTTTTAGGCCAAAAGAAATTTAAAGACATCACTCAATTCGCATCAAACATTTTTCGGTGTCTGAATGATCTTTTACGACGGATGATCACGGAGGATCATCTCGTGGAGCAAGAGATGTGTAATAATGTGTATCTTCTTTTTCTGTTTTAGGTTTATTCGAGACGAACGGCCTACTGGTGCCCGGTACGATGTGCGATTACGAGTATGTCAGTTCGCAATCGACGTCCCATTACGGACGATTCTACTCACCGCGCTACCCGTCCTCCTACCCAAAGAACATCCGGTGCTCTTACCTCTTCCGGGCAAGGTAACTGTAATCCGACCTAGTCGTGAACTTGCGCGCACTGTATTCTATAGGGAGAGGAAGAGTGAGAGAGAGAGAGAGGGGGGGGTGAAGGAAGAGGAGGGCAAGGGAAAGCCTAATCCATATATAATGCATCTCTGCGGCTAATCTCCGCCGTCGCCATATATATCTACTACTGTCTTAGCGAATTTAACGAGACGACAGTCCGTAATCCTGCTCGCAGTTAATTAACGTCCAATTTAGCGTATCGGAGAATATGTTTGATCATCTCGGGCTTAACATTGCGTTTCTCTCTCTCTCGTGCAACTTCCGCAAGGGACAGTCAAATTTCGCGTTTTGAACCGTTAAATCTCTCTCTGATCTCTTGCTAGTCTCGAATCACTGATCAACGTTGAATTTTCGTACCGACGCGTTGCTGCCGTCATCGAAAATTTTCCGGCTTCCCGGTCGGCCCAACTTTTGCCGTTCCTCATCTCGGCTTCTTGTTGTTACTCGCGGCTGCCGAAAGTTTTGTCGCGAGCTGGTTTACAGTACAATGCCATAAAAGCTGCGTACTGCGGAGCTGGGGAGGAAAAAGTGGCAAGTTCTTGGCATGATCCCTCGCAGGAAGCGCCACTATTTTCCAGCCGGTTCTGTGAAACGCGCTGAGATTACTTGCTGGACTCTCGTCGCGATTTATCCGCGAAAACGCGATCCAATATTGACCGACAAAATGTGCACAGGCGGTGATATTTGTTTGCCGAAGTATATATTACATTTAGAAGAAAAGTTTCATCTTCATAAGAAATAATTTTTAATTGTATGATATGTTAAAGAAATATTTTTTTTTTTTCTTTTTTTTAAT